GGTTCAAAAGGCGGGGGACGGAGCGGCGGTGGCGGAGGCGGCGCTTCGAAAGGCGGTTTCTCCAAGCCAAAGTTGTATATCACGCCGCTGCTCTCGCGCGAACCGCCCTCCCAGACCCACTCGCCGCTGCTGAGTCGCGCCACGTACTTCTCGGAGAAGCCACCCTGGTCGACCAGGTTGAACAGGTGCACATTGGCACCACTCCTGTCGCCCTTCTCGTCGAACTCCACGCGCCCCGAGAGGCCTTCGAACGACAGCGTCTGCTTGGACTCCCAGAACCGCGTGCCAAATGACGACGAAAGCGGGCCCGTCGGGGTCACGTTGCACGATAGCAACCCCGCCGCCACGACAGCGTCGTAAGCAAACGAGCCGCCGGATGGCAGCCAGCCTCTCGATAGCGGATCGCGAAAAAAGTTGTCGCGCAGCTGCCAGTCGGCAGGCAGGTGCTCGTTGAAGTCTCCGGGCTGAAGTGTCGCCCATCGCTCGTCGTCAAACCTCGCCCACTGCGGATTGTCGTCGGTCGCGCCGCACGCCTTGATCTGCAGGCTACCGTTCAGCGCGGCCCGCCCCTCTCCGTGTACCATGTCCAACTCCGCCGCGGTGACACCGTCTGCAAACATAAAGGAGGTGCCAGGTCTGAGCAGGCCGGTGACCAGCGCGGCCTCTACAATCAGGCCAAGGCTCGTTGGGAAAGTGATGACTAGCACCGCCTTGGCGCCACTGCTGGATAGGCTGATGGCCGCAGAACGGATCGACTCCTCGCGGATTGAATCCTCATTGGAGTTGGAGAACTCCCTGCTGACAAACGTCAACCCGAGGGTCAGGCAAGCGGCCTTCGCTGCTTCCTCGTAGGCGCGGCCGTACGGATCATCTACGAAGAGCACGGCCACGTTTGAAAGCCCGAGCTCATGCTTCCACAAGTTGCAGAGGCTCGACGCAGTACTAAGGTCGGAGGGAATGGTCCTCATGAATCGCGGGTAGCGAGCGATGTTGTCAAGATCGGGCGATGTGGACCAGTACGAGATTTGAGGGATGTTGTGAGCCCCGGTCATGCGCGCTATGGTGGTTGAGACGGAACTGCGGCCGGGTCCGATGACGAGGTCGGTGCCAGCGGAAAGGTCTCCCAGCGCGAGGATTGACTTTGAGACCGAGCCGCCGCTGTCGAGCAACCGAAATCGGAGCTGCTTGTCGCAAGCCGTCAAAGATCTAAGCGCGGGGAGAGCACTTGCGTTTCGCGAATTGAAGTCCGTCACTCCGAGTAGCGCGCTGACGACTACAGCTTGCATCGGCTCAATCTCCCAGCACGTGCCATTCCGCCAGTTGCCCACGCCAGCGCAGCTCTCGGCGGTCGACACCGCTTTGTACGAGAGCATGAAAAGAGCGGCGACGTTCACGTCAACACCACCAGCAGCGAGCGTCGGCAGTAGCAGCGACGACAGCATGATTTGCAAAATTGCAAGGCCAGAGCAAGGTTAAAGACCAGCCGCCCACATCGGCAGCCACAGTCGGAACTCGAGATACCACATCTCGGGTAAACTGTTTCAACGCGGCCTTGGCCTTCACTTGAGCACTTGAGCACTTGAGCACTTGATACCGCGTGGTACGAGTCTTCGCGTGCCGCCTGTTGTTCGACTCGGGCGCCTTGGGCGTCGGGGTGGCGAGCAGGGGACGCGGCTCTGAGCGCCCAGCGACGCGTGCCGGATGGAGTCCGGACGTGTCTATTTTTAGCAATACCAAACAACTCTAACACTCACACGTCATTTGTTTGTGTTCGGACGTGTGAGTGTTAGAGTTGCCGCGGGTGACTAGGGGAGTTTGCTCAGGATGTGTGGCAGCCACGTTGGCTGAGTGTCTTGTCTTGTGGTTCTGTGTGTCGCTCCTGTGTGACCGTCATCGCCCGTCTAGCGTCCACCCAGGGGCACCTGTGGTAGGGGGGTACCACCACCCACCTCATGCTCACACGTCTTGCGAGAATGGGGGCGAGGGGCGAGGCCGAGCTCGGATCGGGTCCCGTTTCTTCCGTAGGGAGTCAAGATGCAATTCGAGTCGCACAACCCTGCGATTCCATCCTTCGAGGTAGCCCTTCCCCTCCCGACTTTTGCGAAGGTATCGACGAGCGGGCGGACAGACGTAACAACTGTAATGAAGAGGCTTTCAGAAATCGCGAGTCCGCGGTGTTTCGGCGGAGTTCCGCTCTCCTGTCCCGCTCTCGCCACCCTTGCAGCAAAACTCCTTCTCTCGCCCATCCGTCCGCGGTCGAGAGAGAGCAGTTTTGCCGTTGCACGGCTAATCTCGGGTGATCTCGGGTCTCCTCGGGTGAGGTCGGGTAATCTTGGGTGACCTCGGGTCGTCTAGGGTAATCTGGGGTAATCTCCCTGATAATCTCGGGTCTCTTCCTCTCTCTCTCTTTCTGTCTGTCTCCCTCTCTCTGTGAGGACCCACACCCTGCCTGTCTGTCCCACCCGCCCGTGTGTGTGTGATCAGTGTCTACAGTACAGACGGGGAGGGAGTATCTTTGTTTGGCTCACGCCAGGGCGCTCGTTGCTCTCCGTCTTTTGTATCTTCGATAGTGATATTTTCAGAAGACGGGGCTGTCCACCGAATCGAACTTTTACGTGCCGCCGAAAAGTAACTCCAACGCAGGCGCGCGCCGCCGCCGCCCGAAAACTTAACCCGTTCCCACCGCCCCCCTCTGGCTCCGCCGTCGATACCGCCACGTCGTCCATTCGATCCCTAATGCTGCCGATCTTGAACCTCGCGCAGACTGGCTCGCTGCTCGCCGCGTCCTCAGACGGTGGGAGCAGGCAGTGCAGCGCCAGTGGCGATGTCGGCACGCAGCTCGACTCCAGCTCTGCAGTGGACCTCGAGCTGCACCACCACTTTCTTCAGCCGCAAGAGCTCCTCGATCTTCAACAGCGCGCTTCTGCCGTGCCAGAGGCTGACTGGCTCCCGTGCTCTTGCAGGGCAGAGGCAGCCACAGCTGTACTGGCCAAGGAGTGCGCCCACGTCGACGTCGGCCAAGACCCGGTGGCGGCAGGAGTGCTCGGGCGGCTCGCAATGCTCACCGGGTCTTCCACCAGCCTCGAGACTCTACCTCTGGTCCGCTATCGCCCAGGCGCCACGGCGACGCCGTTGCACGTCGACCACCTTCCCGACGGCGCAAGGGTAGATGAGTAGCGCGGGGACGGCAGCCATGCCCGTCCGAACTGGAGGAGGGCGAGTGGGTGGGGGTAACTGTAGTAGAGCGCCATCCCCTTCCCGCTGTGCGACTCTGCGACTGCCGCACTGCCCGGCGCAGGCCGGGTCCCGGACGCGTCCGCGATGATCTACCTGACGGCAGAGGCCAGCGCCGTGCACTTTCCCGCCCTCGGCCGAACCGAGCGGCCAGGAACGGGGTCGCTGCTGACTTGGCGCAGCGTCGACGAGGAGGGTCGTCGGCTGCCCGCGTCCGCGCACGCTGTGAGCGAGCACCCTGCCAGCGCGTCGCAGCCGCGCATCGCGGTCTCGATTCCCATCCTCAGGGATGCGGGCGGCGCTGCGGTGATGGCCCCACTGCACTTTGGAGGCTGCCGCCGCCGGCTTTCGGAAGGCGACGCTGACTGTGATGATGGTGCTGGCGTGCACGGCGACCCGCACCTGACCCTCGCGCACGGGGGCGTCGCTGATTTCCGAGGCCGGGACGGCAAGTTCTGGAACTTCCTCAGCGCCGCCAATGTGAGCGTCAACCTGATGACTCAGGACGGGAGTCCCTTTTACGTACCCTCTCGGGGGGGGGGAGACCTTCCGTGAGCCTTGCCGGAACCTGCTTTTAGGACGGCGTCTTTGCGATGCACGGCGCGACGGTGAATGGCAGCTGGCTGACCGAGGCCCACGTTTTTGCCATCACGTCGGCGGGCCCGCTGCAGCTGTCGTATTTTGCGTGGAAAATCTCCGCCGACAGTCTCATCGGCTGGTCCAACGGCACTTGCGGCGGCCGTCCCTTCAAGCTGATTGGCTGGGCGGTCACTCCCCGCAGGGACGGGCCGCGGAACCGGCAGCTGTGCGGCGAGGCGCTGCTGCAGTCCGACTACTCGAGTGTGAAGATTGCGTTGCCCGAGTGGAACATCACGATCGCGCCCAAGGCGGTGCCGGACTGGTTCCACCGGCGATCAGACTGGATCAGCGGGCCAAAGGCGGCGGCGGCTTCTCGTGCCACCACATCACGCGCGAACACACCCTGCCGAGCCTTTTCCGGCTCCCCGGCAGGTCCGTCTCGACGTGCAATTTTCCCTCCTCGTCCCGGAGAGGAGCCTGCGCGTGGCACCGCACGGAATCGTCGGCCAGTCCTTTGATGGCAGCGGCGTCGCCGTCGATGGCGCGCGCGACCCGGCACCCCTCCCCGGCCAGAACCTCACGACCACGGCGATGGCGGAGGGCGCTATCGAAGGCTCGTGGGAGGACTACCTGATGGCCTCGCGATTCGAGACCGCCTACAAGTTCTCGCGGCTCGGCTTGGCCGAGGCGCCAGCCCGCGACATCGCCACGCTGACGGGGCGCCGCTTCGCGTCGGCGGCGGCGGACGCCGGGCACACCACCGCGACGGTGTCGATCGAGGGGGGGGACGAGGCGACCAAATCGTACCGTCGGCTCGCCGAGTTGAACTAGGCGAGCTGGCGGTCCCGGCTCGGGGACTCTGCGCTTCCAGCACCGCTGTTGAGGAGACCTCGGGGAGGACCCCTCGCGCCTCTTCGAGCGCCTTTGCTGCTCTGCAGTCCGACTGCTGCACATGCACATTCATCTGGAACTGGATGGGGTCTGGGGGAAAGGTCCACCAAAGCTACCTAGGGCGTTGCGCGGGTGTTAGGGGTGCTTTGATTGACGGTATTTGACGTTGATGATTGTGAGTCTTTCTACTTTCAAAAAAGAAGAAAACGGTTTGCCTTCGACGCCTGTGTCGCGAGAGATGGCCGGAGCACATAATCGAGTGGCACTCTCAACGGATCAAGATAGTGACAGTACGGCAGAAGAACATTATAGAGAGACTTGCAAATGTCGGTGACCCGAGAAGACCACAGAGATGCGCCTGTCAGGCGATACAGCAGCGACTTGTCTCTTTCGGGTTCGATCCTCTACCGATGGCGGAGGGGCATATTTTCTGCATTGGACGGGAGTACAACGGCCCACACGCCGAGGTACTACACCGAAGCAACAAAAATGTGCCCATCCCGACTGCTAGAGACATGCGTGTGGCATGGGATAAGGCACTCGGAAGCCTTCCCGCAAGTGTGCGGGAAGCCGGGGGAGATGGCGAGTGGAAAGGGGTGCTCGCTGAGACACTTGCGGAAACAGACGAGACATGTCTACCATGCGCAGACGTTGTCACTTCGAATCAGGTTACACAAGTCAAGAGCGTCCTGCGAGGGAGCGTTATAGGATGGCTGGACAAGAATGTCGGAGAGGTTTTTGTTACTTGCCCTGTCACATATGCGAAGACGCTAGACGCGCTATTCGACACTTCAAATGGCAACTATACGCGCGTATATCCGCTAAAGGATACGGCGTACAAGAGGAAGATATACGGAGCTGATGATCTGCTCAGAAACATGACGACAGAAGATCGGTCGCGAGTACGAGCGAACCAGCTGAGCACTGACGGTACGCTCGACGCGACGCTTCTCTGCGTGGCGATGGTTCTACAGAAAGAAGGGATGGCATAAGATCACCAAATTCGATAGCAAGGGAAGAGTCACGGCGCCGTATGCGCTATATAAGGCAAAGAACGTTACTGATCCGACAGTGCGAGCACAGAAGCTGCACAAGGCGAGACCGATCACGCCGTACGCAAAGCATCCGATGGCGAAACTTTTGAGCCTCGTGGGCAGGGCGTGGAGTTTCGTACTCCGGCACCTGAAGGGTGAGCACTTCATTCAGCATGATTGCCAAAGTGTGCCCCAAATGCTGAGAGAGGCGGCCGAGGCGCTTCGAGGGAAGGGAGAGCTCAGCTACGAGATTAACGACGTCGACAGCTGTTACCCGAGCATGCCAAAGGAGCGATGCGGGTGGCAATGAGAGACATTCTAAATGATGTGCGCAATAATCTGCCATCTGGCGCGGGAGAGGACCCGAGAATACTTGTACCGAAGAGAGGCAAGAAGAAGTGCTCGTGGGCACAACAAGGGGAGGTGTGGGGACACGCATCGATCAGCTCCTCGACGATGCTCGAGGTGATCGATTTCGATCTGGATAACTGCTACGTCATCACGTATGACGGACGCCTGCTAAAGCAGGCCCGCGGTATCCCGATGGGGAGTGCACTCTCGCCACCGCTGGCGATAGGAACTCTCGCATGGATGGAGCAAGAATGGATGCATACGCTTGAAGACGATGTCAAAGCCCGATTCCGTATGAAACGCTACATGGACGATGTGATTATAATAACTGCAAAGGACGATTGTGTGTGGGATGTCGACCGCTTTCGGGAGGACACGAGGACTTCCGCCGTTCTGAATGCTACTGGGCTCCTTTGAAGCTAGAGGCAGCAGAGAGCGCCCATTTCTTGGAAACGACTCTCGAGCTCGACCCAAGCGGAAGCTTCCGGACGAGACTCAAGAACGTGAACGAGGAGTGCGAGGCGGTACCCCGGGTGTGGCGCTACCATCGTTGGGATAGCTTCACATGCGCGAAAATGAAGGAGGGAATCGTTGTTGGATGCCTGCTCAAGGTTGTCGCAATGGCGAGCGATGACGAGGGATTCACGCTCAGCGTGACGAGCAAGCTCAGGGAGTTTACGGCGCTCGGATACCCGTCACACGTGCTTAATGGGGCTATCGGGCGCGCGTTTGCCCGGACAAAGGACGAACGGCTCCTACGAGCAAGAATATGTTCACAATGGGGGGGAAACCAACCTCACATGTGAACCAAAAAGAAAAAACATATTCTCAAAGCCAGTCAGAGCACCGTCCAAAGGCGGGTGCTGTCGACTAAGGGACAATCTTGTCTGTCGGCAGCCGAACTTGTGATGGGACACCCTCGGAATCCAACTGCGTACTACTTGGCTAGCACGCCATTGGCATACCGACGGCTAAGGCCGAAATCGGTTCACACCTGCTCTTGCAGGTGTGAACACAAAGGATTCGCTGTATCTACTAAGCTGCTCCGCTCACACTTACCTGTGAAGTGTGAACCGCGGATTTTGAGATCAGCCGCTGCTTCTCGTTGGTCCCCTCTGATGAAGACCGCCAACGTGAGGGCTGCGACCTCCCACCTCAAGAAAATCTCGAGCGTGCTCGCCATCCTTCTCGCAGGATGTGCTCTTCTCAAAGCGTGCGTGCCGTCCTCCAGTCTCCTCGAGAGATCTGCGCCTGCCGCTCCGCTTCGCAGCGACTGCAAGGGAGCGAACTCGTTGATACAGGGCTTCATCTCAAGAATGACGCTTGACGCGGTGACAACTGTTGCTGCCTACACGCGCGACTCTGACATCCTCCCGCACATCTTGATCACACCCGCGTTCTCCGCCGGAGAGACCAGGGTCTGGAACATGACCATCCCGCAAATCAACGGCGTCAAGGTGCGCGGAGGCCTCTGCTGGGACGACTACGAGTGAGAGCTGCTCCTCCCGCCAGCTGCACCTCTCCTCCTCCTCCTAACTGCCTCACGTATTGCTCTCCTCAGGTGGCACAGGACCCAGGGCACCTTCTGGCGCACGATCGGCGACCTTTCCAAGCCGCCTGACGGCGTGCAGATCGCGATCGACGACATTTCCGCCGTCGTGGAAGCCAACTTTCAAGTCCGCGGATTTGCTGGCATGACGCTCTGCGAGGGGCGCGCGAAAATCGCTCTCTCTGGCAGCATGACCATCTTTGCGAACCTGCGCTATCTCGACGGCCAAGCCATCGACATCTGCGACGGTGACTTCGGCGTCGACTCCTTTCACGTTGACATGGCAGGCGCTTTCAAAGGCACCACTGAGCCTGCGGTGGTGCAAGCCGTCATCAGCAACATCATTAAGCCGTTGGTGCGCGAAAACGCCGCCTCGATGGTCTGCGAGGGTCGAGTCAGCCCGATGCTGCGCTTCCTGGGGCCTTCGGTCGAAGTGGACTGGTCGTCCACCCACCTTCCCCTCTCCGCCACACCGCCAGGCCACCACCTACGCACGCCCTCTCCCTTTTCAGGTCGTCCACCCCTTTAATGGGCGGCAAAAAGCCGTTCAAAGGGCTCGCTAGCGAGGTCCAGTCGCGCTTGCGCGGCTCTCCCGTCATCCTCTCCCTGCTGAAAACGATCGGCACCTCGTCGCCCTATGAAGAGCGTCACGAGGCGGCGCTGCGCGACCAAAAACGCCTCGCGGAGGTTGGGGTGGATGCGCCGTTTGGCGAGGACCGCTTCGCCGACATATCGCCTTATGACAACTCGGTTGGGGCTAAGATGATCGCCACGGACTCCTTGGCCTCTGTCGATGGAGGCGTGACCGGGGCGCTGGCCGGCACAACGCGAGCCGGAACCTACCTGTGGTGCGCGCGCCCCTCCTCGCCGCGACCGCGCCACGACCGCGCAAAGCCAACCCGCACCCCACCTCCTCGCCGCAGGGGCTGGGACACAAAGAAAACCATCAAGCTCATTAACAACGTCCTGAAAGGAAACTATGCCGTGAACATGCCCCTTATCGAGGAGGTGGCGCTCGGAGGCAAGGCCTCTCATCCCGCGGTGGAATGCCACGACTTCGCCGCCACCGAGCCGCAGAGCCGCTCTCGGCTCCGTGCGCTATACCGCGGAGAGATGGGAGCGGAGGCGCCCTCGGCTCTGTGCACAGCACGCCAGAGGCTGTCAGTCGTCCTCCATCCCTGGGGCCAAGCGATTTACCTGGGCAATTACACTGACGGACAGGCTCTCGCCTATTGGCGCGTATCGAAGGTAGGAGATCTCCCTGGCACTACTGAGGAGGAGATAGCTGCACCTTCGTCGGAACTGGCATTCGGGCCGCCCGTGCCGCCAGCACCAGACGGGACGCCGCTCTACAGTTACGGCGTCATCAAGGCCTGGCGCGACGACAAGGGCAGGCCCCATCCCAAGCGCTTCGTCTTTTCGCGGTGGGAGCGGCGCTCGTGGCCTTTTGACGGTGAGGTGGTGCTGGAGCCCATGCTTGAGCTTCGCGTCATCGCGTCGCCCTGGTGGTGGGGCGGGAATAGCAAGTCGGCGAAGGAGCAGCCCCTGTCAGACTTTCGAGTTCTGCGGGCAGGATCGGACGATGTCGTGGCGGCGGTGGGCGAGACCAGGCCGTTCGCGCCTGACCATACGTGGCGCGAGTGGGGCATCCGCACTGCCAGGAAACCCCAGATTGCGCACCCACGATCCCGAACCCCCCCCCCCCCCTAAACTGACACGCCTAGGACCTGACCTAACAGCGGTGTCGACTTGCTCGGTCTTTTCGCCTTGATCCTCTCCTCAAAGTACAAGTCGGAGGACCTTGGCCGCCGATTGGGCTTTTTCGAGATGGCGGTGGTGCGCGCGTATTTGGAATGGGAAAGCGCCCGGGAGGACGGGCATCGCGAAATCTCCAAGGCCATCAAGGCGATCAAGGCGCTCGCCAACGGCGGCATTGTGCAAAACATCGCATAGCAAGAGGGGAAGAGGGCCAAGGCGACGTCAATGCCTTGCCAGTCGTGAGCGCCCGCGATGATGAGGTTGTGAGGAGAGCGCAGGCTGAGGCTTGCGCACACTCGGCGTTAACTCGTCACTCCACGACCCTCCACGACTCTCCACGACCGGCACACGGCTCTACTCCCAAAGTCGAACCGTGTCTCTCTTTGTACATGCATACTCTGCTACGCGAATAACAACAGGAGTTCGTTTTATATTCAATTGAATTTAACTCTTGCGCGGTTCCGCATTAAATAAATAAATAAATAAAAACGGTCAAACTCTGAGACGAGATGGGATTTAGGGACATGTGTCCCCGACCCCGCCCTGCACGATCTTGGTGTGAGGGATCTTCAATCCGTGTCCCCTCACCCCTGGTCACTACCCGACACTAGAAGAGCAGCAAGAGTTGGGGCTGCGGCTACGGCTGCGGCTGCGGGAGGGGCTATGGTCGCGGGAGAGCCGCTGCGCCGCGTGGGCGCGCCTACACCGCGCTTGCTCCGCTCGCCACCTCTCCGCAAAGGTCCAAAGTAATAGCCATCACCTCCTCCGGCAAGTCCTTTTCGCCTATCTCGCCGTCCCTCCATGCCTGGTAGAGCTCGTCGTCATAGCCATATTGCATCACAGCCTGCTGCACTGCGTCGTGCACAACCCCTGCCCACCCTATCCCGCGCCTCAGCGTCGGAAAATTCGAGCTCGGAGTCATACCCGGAAGCAGGCGCAGACGGCCGCGGCGATTTGGCAGGCGGCGAGGTGGGGGGAGGGAGAGCGCGGCGGTGCGCGCTCGGTGCTCCCGCTGGTGCCAGAAGGCCAGCACCCAATGGCAATGCGCTCAGCCTAACTTCTTGTCCCACCACCTTGGTTCCGCTTTTAGGGAGGATACAAATTACAATTTTGCTGCCTCACCAAACACATATACACGTGTCAGATGCGGACACGTCTCATGGGGGAAAGCCATGCGCGATAAAAAAGGATGAGTGTGTTCGTGTGCGTCATGTGTGCCCCCTTCACACCTCGCCCTCCTCCGGCTCCTCCGGCTCCTCCGGGGCGAGGTGCAGGCTCTCGAGCGCGCGCAGCGCGGCGCCCATCTGGGCGTCGGTGATCGACAGGCCGCGCGCGCTCGCCACCAGCGCCCCGTTGATGTAGCAGCCGACCACGTACATGCGCTCGTGCGCCGGGCCGAACTCCTCGAGCAGCTCGAAGGTCTTGCTCAGCCGCGCGCCGGTGAGCGCCGAGAACTCGTTGAGGCAGTGCTGCAGCCGGGCCTTCGGGTCCATCCACCTACCCGCGATTACCCGAGGTGACCCGAGATTGCCCGGAGATGACCCGAGATTGCCCCTCGGGTCCATCCACCGTCGCTCGTCGACGGTCGCGTCCGTCTCCTCCTCGAAGAGGGTCGCGGCGGTGAAGGCCTTGACGGCGGCGAGGCCGAGGCCGAGCGGCTGCCGGTCGAGGTACAGCGCTCCGAGAAAGGCCTCGAAGGCGTCGGCGAGCATCTTGCCGCGCGTGCGGCTGCCCTCCTCCTCGAAGAGCGCGTCCTTGTGCCGCACGCAGCGGTGCATCCCGCAGCGCACGGCCGCGCCGATGAGGACCTAGCGACGCGAGGGGGGGGGGGGGGGGGGGGGGTCGACAATCAACATAACCGAAACCCCCCCCCCCCCGTAAAAAAAAAACCCCGGCCCCGTATAATGAAAAAGCGCCCCCCCCAGTCAAGGACCAGGCCCCTCAGGACAACAAACCACCCCCCGACCCGAAAAATGGGGGCGTGGAGTCCCCCGGCCCCTGGCACAATGGGATGGGGGTATTTTTTAAATCCCCCCGGGAAAACTTGACCTTG